TATATATATATATATATCATTTTAAATAAAGAGTTTGAAATAGGAAATAAATAAATTAAATATAATTTTATAAATATAAATACAAGTTTAATATATTTTAAATAGAAAAACTTGAAAAAAATTAAAAAAGAAAAATCCACGAGGCGACCCATGACCAATTGGTCGGTTCTAACCATGTCCGCCCCTAGGCGGGTGGTGGGCCAAGTTAGATCTGGTTTTAGACCCTGAATCAGAGAAGCAGGCTCGACCCATTCTGACCCGTGACGGTCCGATCAAACTCAGCCAGCCCTTGAACCCGATGACCAGTTCACAAGCTCAAAACACCGCAGCCCACGTCCATGCCTTCAGTGCTATTAAGTGTTATTTTGCACTATTTACCGCTATTGCGAACAAATTGCACAAACATAGTAAAATTCAACCGATGTTGCTTATAGCCTAGCAGGGTAGTGTTGTTAGGAAATAGGCTTGTATTTCATCCCTAGAAGACAATGGAAGAGTTGAAATCAAAGAGGGAAGCAAAACTAGGCCAAACGTCAAGCGGCGACGACGAGACCGACTAGTCCGACCTGTAGAATTCTCTGCCAGTACACCAGCCAATCTAACCATTTAGTTAGACCAAATCAGGTAGTTTTCCTATTTTGGGTCTATTTTGGACTTCTACCAAGATTCAGAATTGATGCTATTTAAAAGGAAAATTTGTCTCTTTAAAGTTGTGCATGAGTGATATACAACTTGATGGGAGATATTAGAGTTATTAGTATATTAGGAAAGTCAAATTTTGTTTTAGTTCCACACATTAAAAGCTAGTTAATTGTACGTTACTGGCTCTTTTCGGCCCTTTTTATAAATAATTATCCCTCTATGCATATTATAAATAATTATCCCTCCCTCAGCTAAAAAGTCTCTTACCAACGTAACGAGAGAGGGGTTTCAGTTCAAACTCATCCAATGTTGCCGAATTCAGTTCAAGCTCACCCAATGTTGCTGAAGTAGAAATAATGGACACAAAAAAGGGACATGTATAGACATGAGCAGTAACATAACAAATCCTTAAAACTAGGATATGGGCTACGATCACAAGGCATTCATGTATGTTTGGTCTAAATTTGTGCATATATTCAAACAAGTCTTAATAAAAGCAACAAGAAAGACAACAGCCGTAGCTTCTCAAGAATTAAATCAAAAGAAATCCAAAAGAAGAACCCAATATCCAGTATAATGCAAGCCCTTAATGCCTCTCTTGCAAAGGTCTAAATATCCAACCATTGCTTATGAAAAAAGGGACACAAAGTTCCTTGGTGTTTTTTAAAACCCCAACATGCCTTCTATGTGTTTAATAAAGTTGAGAAGTCGTACCCAAGTGTTGGTGTAACACACATGGCAAACAATAAATGTGGAAACAACCTTGAAGTATGCTTTCTTCCAAGTGTCCAACTAGTTATTTTATAAAGTAATGCCCTTCTAGAATTCAGCTCTCATACATATTATTGTATATATTATTTAGGTATATATGAATAGCAACAACATACATTTACATGAATCAATACATCTACTCAAACGAAATTATAAATATATACTCATGTACTTGTGCCTGGATTAGGAAACTAGTCATGTCTGATACCCATGTCCATTTCAAAGCATGAAACTTGTGCTTATGTCCGTTAATCAAAGGAATCTAGCAGCAGATAAACAATTATCTAGTTGTTTTCAAAAATGTACGTGGGTTAATGGACATTTCCACTAATAGCAATTATTCTAAAACAGAACGAATATCGAGGAGCTTAAAGAACTATTTGTATTTAAAACATCTAACATAATAGGTTATCAGAAATAATAAACAATTCATTACCAAACATTGATTTTTTTGCATCTAATATTCTGAAGTCCAAATTGCTGTGTTTCTTCTGATTTTTATTTTTATATTCAAAATTAATGATCTTCACTTGCAAATAATAAATAACCTAGAAACTAAGTTTGACACAAAAATGACGGTCTTGTTAAACTAAATTGAAAAATTAAACAATGTATGCAGATGTGAAATCTATGCTACTCTGGACTTGTAATGTGCGCACCATGGCATCAAAACTAACTCCGAAGTTATGGTGACAGATGGTTAAGGGATTATATATTTATGTCCTAACATTACCTCCAAGTTTCTTGCTCTTTTTGTGGGAAAAGAACCAAGTTTTTGCAGTGTTTTCTTTCTCCTTTAATGTGCATCCCACTAAGTCAAACCTGCATGGTTTACTACCATTTGAAAATCCGCATCACTATACCAGATTTCTGAATTATTGAAGATTCAGGGATATTTTTTTTCTTCTAAAAGCTTAATCAGTTTTCATAAGTGCCCAACATTTGACCAATAAAGAATTTATTGTTTTATAGCCATGTTATAGCATATTTGTGCTAAATAAGTCTAACAACATTTAGGAATTGAATTGGAAAAATATTTCATGCTATATAATCCTTCATAAAAAGTTTTAACTATTTACTACATGCCCTAAATTTGTGTACATTTCTTTATCTCAAAAACGAACTTTATTTCTGCTAATATTTTTTCACTTATATACTAATCGTTCATTTCTATTTTACATTTTCAGACTTTAAAGACCAAGACACCAGTCAATCCCATATAAACAATGAATATGCCATTATACGAATTTTCAATCTGTGTTATCTTTTCCTGATTTTAAAGCCCAAGATAGTGCTTCCTTGTTACGAACAGGAGCGTTGAGGGGCTCACATGCTTAGGATGTGATTCTGGCTTCCAAGTACCAAGCAGATTACTTTTAGTTTCTTATCCTGATTTTGCAGTAGTCAGAGAAGAATAATCTCGGTAACATTGAATAATATTTAAAGCAAGAGAAAATACATCTTTATCTCTTTATGCAAGTACTAAAGATGAAGAAAACTGATGTTAATCCTTAATATAGACATAGCAATGTAGAAGAAACAACATTGCTGATGCTAGATTATGTAGAAGGAAATAAAACTGCAATACATTTTGAACAAACGAAACAAAAATATTATATTGAAAGCTGACCAACTGAAATTCAAAGCAAAAATAAACTGATGTCAGAAGTGACAAAAGTAGAAGGCTAATTAGATCATACTAACTTTTTCCAGATATTCTCCGATTCAAAATTGAAGGCTGACCAACTGAAGTTTAAAGCAAAGTCAAATTGATGTCAGAAGTGACAACTAGAAGGCTAATTAGATCATGCTAACTTTTTTCAGATATTCTCTGATTCAAAACCGTTTGTAGTGATAAAGATATAACATTAGAAACAAAAGTAAGTTCACACTTACTTGAAGAAAATAGTCAAAGCAGAATCATATAACGAGAAACAAATTCATATCACTAAAGAAGCCATTAAGAACATTTATAACAATAAATAATAAATCAATTATCTGAAAGAATTGGTTGAAGCCATACCTTGAAAACTCAGTCTCCAGTTTTCTAGATCTTCGAATTAAATCTTCCATGACTTTTAAGAAAAAAAATTCACTAGCCTTCTCCGAAGTTTTGCAATTCTCAGATCTCCTGTATTAGTCAAATAATGAAAACTAAGTGATTTAAACAACATAAATATAACAAGCTCTTGCATATTGACTGCATCCTCATTACACACATGAAGTCAAAGAAACGACTGCAAGACCTCTGTAGTGATGTCTATTTTCATTATCATAAGGACTCATATGTGTGTATTAAATTTATGTATATAATTTCAAAATTTTATATTAAACAGATTACATACAGTTATAAGCTAGGACTTGAAAACCGAAAAACTATTTTTTATCCTGTATTTCTCTTCCATTTTTCATGTTGTGACTTTATGCATTGGAATACAAATTTAATTATTTTTTCTGCTACTTCTATAACGCCCACCAACATCGTAGCCAATTTTTATACGAATTTTGATACCATCAACCTAGTTGACCAAAAGTCATGAAACCAACTACCCCATATTTCGGTCCCACCTAATCTTCACCATGAGTTTAGATTCGAGTTAAGATGTCAACAAAGTCAACCCAAAGGCTGTTGAGATATTAAATAGGAGTTAAGTGAGAGATTAGACTTGAGGAACATTGCTCTAAATATTAGGAAATTAGAGATATGAAAGCTAGCCTATAAATAGAAGAGGGGTTCTCTTCTAAAACCCTAACCTCATTTTTAGGTATTGATCTTTAGTGAGAGAGCGAACTAGAGAGTGAAGCTTGCAGCCATGGTGAACTGCAGTGGAGGAGACGAAGATAGAAGTAAAGGGAGATCCCCAATATTCGATCAAGCCTTCGATGCCCTTCCTAAGATAAGTTTTCATACTCCACTTTCCCTCAACTCAATCTCAGATCAAAGCTCACATATGGGATCATTTCATCTTAGATCCAAGGTGCAATCTTGCTTGAGGATGCAAGGAGAAGCTAGGATTTCAACCGATATCTTACAAGGCAAGCATCTCTTCATTCCCTTGCTTAGATCATTTCACTAGGGCATGTTTTTGATCAGTTGTTATGTTTGTTGCATGTTTCAATTCGTGAGTTTGCTTGGATCTAGATATCCTTACTAAAAGTTTATGCTTTTAGATAATACAGAAATAGTGGTTATTCTCGATGGATTCTTGATGCCTTGATTTTAACTAACTGCAAATGATTTCTATTATTCTAAACAGTGGATAATCCCTAGAATGGAAAAGGAGTGAGATTTGAAGTGATCAAAATCATTAAGTTTCGCCAAAAACTCAAATTTGCCAGGAGCAGTGTCAATGCTGGCTTGAGAAGAGTCGACGCCACATCAGGCTTGACTCAGTCAACTGCGAATGTATTGTTTGGCCACATGGATTATGAGCTCAGTGTTGACGTTGAAACCTGAAACTTGGTGATGTTTATTTATTTGCATATTTAGAGTTTCTGACTTCTTATTTCACTTCCGTCTTCTTCATATGATTCCTAGATGTGAGGGATGACTTGTAACTAAGAGGATTTGCAAATAGGTTGAGGCTTGATGGTGCTTTCAGGTTTTTTTGAAAATATTGTTTTTCAAATTAGCAATGTTCAAGGTTTTAAATATCGGAAGTCGGGTTCATGTCGCTCGGCCAAAATTCATGTCGGATAGCGGAAATCGGGGAATATGGCGGGGAGACATGAAAAAATAATCGGATTGCATATCGATAGGTTGATATAATATCATAAAAAGGGGAATTTCCAAGCATACTTGGATATTTGATAATTATATTGTCTAAACATAATGAAAAAGTACATATGAGGAGGGTCCGTTCGAGTGCACAAGCAACCACGCAAGTTTTTGCTTTTGCTAGAAACCAAATAGACACTCAGAACAGCTTAACTGGCATATGTTTAGAGCAATTCTTATTAAAGTATAGATAATTATCCAGAATATAAAAATTACTAATACAGATTCTGTTATACACAACTTATTTATTAATGTGAGGGGTTAAGATTTATAATTGTTCAATTTAAGAATTTAAATGTTTTTATAAAAGTCACTTCATAATTTTAGCACTCAAGAAAAGATTACAAAAAAAAATGTCACATACAAAAGCCGAGTGCATTATAGCTAGTAGGCAACAAAAGAAAGTTGCTACTGAAATTGAAAATTAAAACTCGTATTGGCCTATTTCTAAACTACTTAAGCTGCAATCCGACTAACATTGGCAGGATTATTTATTATATATCTGTCATTTCTTCCAAACAAAAACTAGTAAAACGCGAAGTATATGTGGAGCTAATACAGAATAAATATCATAGTGTTCTTATTGCCTCCATTATAAAGAAAACACATGCAATAACATAGTATTAAAACCTACACAAGCACCCATATGGTAGTGGAGTGGGAAACAAATGTGAAACTTTTACATAATAGAAGGTGAAAGAATTGCAAATCATTATGATTTCAAACATGTCAAGTGAAAACGTATTTCTGAATTTTGGCCGATATTTGATGCCGAATGTCGGCCCGATATATCCGCTATTTTCCGACATGTCCCGCATGACTCAAAAACGCCATACGCATTATAATTCACAACATATTCGTGGCGGCTAGGCTCCGAATCCGCAATATCGGCCGCCATGTCCGACATGGCGGCCGATATTTAAAACACTGGCAATGTTACTCCCTTTACTATGACATCAGAATATTACCAATAGATTCTCCCACAAGTCATACACGACAAAAACTAGTTGAGATTACCCCTAACGTTTGTTGAAATAACAAAAACACCCAAATCTATCCCCGTATACTCTCATTTCTCTCTTTCATAAAGAATCTATTTGGTTTTATATCCCAAATAAAAAATTTAACTTTTAGGGTTTTGCATAAACCTTAACCTTATGGTGAAATAATCAAAACAAACAACCACAGAGAACACAAGATTTACATATTTTGGGACTACGCCTACTTCCACGGAGGAAATATCTTTATTAACTAGAAGAAAAAGATACAATAACACTTTCCTCTTAATGATCACTTAGAAGAGTAGTCCATCCGGCTTGTTGAAAATCCTCACAAAATATAGTTTTTCTCTTGTAAATCCTTACAAAAGTAATCTCTTTTTGTTCTTCTTAACCATGATGGCTTAACCTTTGATCTCTTTCTTATAGCCTCCTTTCCTCAACTCTCTCAGACCCTAGATGCGAGATGATACCCCTTTATATAGGGTAGAAGTCTTGGGCTCTAAGAAATTCAAAGAATCACAGTCAGAATATAATCCTAACTATGCAAAAAAATCATCCTAACGGTCTGATCGGGCAATCAAACTACCAAAAACTTTCTGTCTGTATACCAACAGGCCCGACTGCTATTGCTACTTTTTTCTCCCTCTTGTTGTTGTCTGTTTGCTGCTATTGTCGCCACTCTCAATAGTTGTTGCTACCGCCTTTTGCTAGCTACTACAATCCATAGCCAATCCTAATAATTTCTACCTTGACTCGAATTGTATCTCTTCTCTTCTCCGCTTTAATATATCCACCTTATGCCGTGTACCTTCCTCAAAACTATTGAGTGCTTAAATACCTTCACAACCACTACATGAAACTGTGTACTTTCCTCAAAACCACGAGTATGGAATATCAGTAATGACCTCCACCTGAAATCGCGTACTATCATGATCTCTAACTGATACCACATGCCTTTCTCCACTGAGTGGGTACTTGGATGCCTTTCACGATGTTCGCTAAATGTCGTATACCACTCGCAATCCTAAATACCTGAATGCCTTTTATGATCCTCTGACAAGATCGTGTATTGCTTTTATTTTCTAAGAATTTGCTCTGACAATGACGCCAACCACTTATCTTCCATTCAAATCTGCTGAAGATTAGTTCCATCTGTAACAGTCAAAATGAGGGCTATCTTGTAACCAATCTGAAAACAGTCTTAGAAACTAGACCAATCATTGCTTTTCAAGCACCTGAAAAACCTAAGAAATCTATAAAAAAAACTAAAAAAACAACTCCATTGAAGAGCTCCGCTTCTGATTCTTTGATTTGCTGACAATCAACCTAGATTGTTTGATCTGAAATTTAAAAGATCGATAAATTCCAAATCACCTTCCACACGTGTCAAGCGCCTTGAACCTCACATGTTCCACATGAAATTTTTCACGTGACTTCCTTCAGCACTTCACAATGCTATCTGTTGCCTGTTCAACACCCTAACCACATCGTTCTCTCCACCCCGCAATCGTTGGGTTACCTCCTCTGGCATCTACCGCGCCTACACGCATCTTGACAGTCGTTGATTGTAAAACGCCAAGCATCGTCTTCATTGTCTCAAGCTAGCCTTCTTCACTACTTGATGTACATCGCGCACCTCACACATTGTATATTGTTTTGCCAGTGATCTCCGTCAACAATCCTCCTATCATTGTTTTCTTGAGATAAATGTGAGACCAAGTCCATCGCTATTATTAGTCGTCTAAAAGGATCCTATGCGTCTCTGCCTCCACTCATAAACCGATCCTCTGCCAGATCCACCTTTATTCTACTTTCTCTTGTAAACCCCTTTTGCAAATCTCCACTACACCCAATGTTACATTAAACGCTGGGCGCTTCTAGGCGTCGGACTTGGCGCCCAGCGCTTAGTCGCCTAGGCGGACACCTAAGCGGTTTCTGGGCGTTTTTTTTCTTTTTTATTTTTCTAATTGTGATACTTGAAGATAAATATATATACCCAATCAAAGATGCATAAATACTAAAATATCAACACTGTTAACTAAATTGCTTGGTTTATCAATTATAATAGCTCTTTGTATGTTTATACTTCTCAACTCAAATTATAAGTTTATCTCAACAGTGAAAAACTCATTCTCAACTCAAATTACTGTTAACTTATAAGTTACTGTTAAGTTTAAGTTAACAATAAACTCAAATTACTGTTAACTTATAGGTTCATCGAGTTTGGAGGACGTGTAGGCTACGACACATAAAATCACAATCAAGGCCTACAGGGTGCAATCCACGTAAGCAGACAATACTTCCCTAAACGCTCGTAAAATCTAGGTGGGTAGCCTAAATACCGTCTAGGCGCTAGGCGCTAGTTAGGCGGCCTTGGTACTGCCTAGGCCTAGACGTACGCTTAAGCGGACTAGGCGGAGGTTTTTTAAAACAGTGACTACACCATTCACCTATGTCGCTAGCATCATTTGATGCTTCTGTAAAATCTCCTGCATGATCATCCAAACGCAATAATGAGAACCTCCCAAACTCTAAACCTTGTTGTCTTGTTCGTCGTTAATTAAAACCATAACTTTTCCTCGAACAATTCGCCTATGATTTGCCCCAGAGAATCCCGGATCCAAATAACCATCGACTTTAATAAGTAAGGAATTTAGTGGGCTTTAGATCCCGAACAAAGAGTTTAACTTTTAGGGTTTTTACGAAATCCTAAACCTTATGGCGAAATAATCAAAACTAACAACCACCACAGAAAATACAAGAAGGTTTACGTGGTTTAGCAATATGCTTACGTCTATGGAAGGGGGGAAGATACTTTACTAATTTGAAGAAGATACAATAACGCCTTCCTCTCAATAATCTCTAACAAGAATAGTTCATCTGACTTCTTGTAAATCCTCTCCAGAACATAACTTTCATCCTGTAAATCCAAAAAGTAATCTACATTTCTTCTTTTTGTTTATCTTCTTGATCTTGAAGGCTTGGCCTTTAATCTCTTCATTATAAACTCATTTCCTCAACTCTCCTCTCTCAAATGCTAGACCTAAATGGATACCCATTTATGTAGGGTGGAAGTCTTGGGTCCCAAGAAATACAAAGAATTCCAGTCAGAATAGAATTCTAACTATGCAGAAAAAATCCGCTCGAACAGTCCGACAAGGTGGTCGGACCACCCAAAACTTTCGGTTGGTATACGGCCAGTCCGACTGCTGCTGCTGCTGCACTTTTTTCTGCCTCTTGATGATGTCTACTTACTGCTGCTGTTGTTGCTTTCATTAACTATTGCAATCGTTTGCTATCTGCAACAACTGGTAGCCAATCACAACGCCTTTCATACTCTCCCCCCTTTGTCTTTCCATACCCTTAAAACTCATGTCTATATTCTCTTATACAACGATTTTGGAGCTGAAGCATCACATGGAACATGTGTAAAGAGTTGATTTTGAAGCTAAAGCATAAGATGAGTTGTTTCAGAGCAGATTTTGAACATGAAGCATGAGTTGGAGCTTGTGTAGAAGAAGATTTCAGAGCTGAAGCTTCATTAAAAGTGTGTGCATAAGTTCGTGCATTTTCCTGCTGGTCCTAGGGGTTACCTGCAAAAGGGGCAAAATTGAAGCTTAACCCACTCCCTATTGTCAATTTCTGGCTGCAGGAAGGGGGTTATTAGCTGCTCCAGCCAATCGAAAGAACCTGATTACGAATTCTAGGATTAATCTTTTCCATTTGGGAGGAACGAACTGGTAAATTTTGGCAGTAAAAATGTCTGATGAAAGATGAATGTTTAATGTTGGGAGGGGTTTTGATTGAAGGATGGTACTTTTGTCCATTCGAAGAAAAAAAAAATAAACATTGTTAGCATGATTTGAAGTTAGGAAACAATAAGGTCTTTTAATTGTTAAGAAAAAAAGATAGGGTATGTAATTGAAAAGGTATGCAAACTATGAGGTACTTTTGTGCTATTAAGCACAAATCAGCATATGTCCACAGGATTGTGCGAGATAGTGACTTATGATGTCTGTATTTAGTTTTACCTGTTTTCATTTTCTAAATATTCACCAGAATAACCTTCTGAAAAAGAGATCAGGCCACATGCCTCTCCTAGAGCTGATTTAGCTAGAAAGTATGTCACACTTTCATAAACTGAAGTCACTTTTGCAGCAAGAACTGGAGATGGTATGGTTGGAAGTAACTGCTGCATCAGCTGAGTTGTCAGAATCAGCCTTCTTCTTGCTTGGGGCATTAAGGAGCCATCTTCTATCAGTTTAGTTGGAGCCTCCACCTACAATGAGAGATTAGGATAATGAGACATCAGTGACAGTCATAAAGCAAACATGCATGTAGGGTAACCAAGTAAAGAAGTCAAGACTGTGCACACCTTCTCTGTTAACCTGTCTGCAACCTGGGCCCAATCACGATCTGCCATGCTGTATATGATACAGAAAAGTTTTCTTAGAAATCAAACTCAAGTTTAATCGTATCTAATACAAGACAGGTGCATCAAAACTGAAAGACAGTGACTGCTATTTTTTTCTTTAGAACATAAAAGACATTAGCAACAAATCAAAGTTGCTATAGAAAGCACCACCTGATACTTCGTAGCCTTTGGACACCAAGTGAAACCACCTGCTGCCACGGTAGAAGCTGTGATGTTTCAGATTTACGTTTTCTTGACTTCTCTGTTGGCAATGGGTGAAATGATTCATTTACCACTCTGTTGCTGGGTGATGTACTTTGACTTGCAGTACCAAACTGGCCCGTTTCAATCCTTCCATCCATGAAAGTTGAGTTATCAATCCTTGCAGAAAGTTCTGAAGGGAAAAACTGCTGACTGGCAGCTTGTGCGCTCTTCTGGTCAGTATGCATTGCAACAACCTGGCCATTCTTATATTTTCTGTACTGTTCCAACCAGGAGCGAGCCATCTGAGGAGTTAGCCGAGGATGTTCATTCTGCCCAGCAAAATTAGAAATGGGAGTAAGAGGCTGTCCAGGGAGACACATATTTTGGTACAAGCCTTCGGTAGCAAGTAGTTGAGAAGTTTTCTCAGCAGCTTTATCTTCATTTTCCCTCGAAGAAAAGCTCAACATATTGATATCTGAGTGGAAAGAACTTTGAGAAGATGCACCCAGTTCACCAGCTAGAGGAACTCTAGAAAGTCCACTTTGACCACAATTATACCCCTGACCTGCCCAGCACTCTGTCTGTGAACTATCAGGACCAAATTCTCCTTTAAGCCTCTTTCCATTTCTTCTGTTTGCTTCAGAATCGGCACCTTTCATGGCTTGCATTTGCTGCAGTAAGGAATAATTTGTCTGTTGAGCATTTGATGGTAGAACTTGTCCATGAACCCCAACTTCAGTGTTTCCAGCAGCATGATTGGTTTGCTCTTCTTTCTCTTCCAAAGCCCTGCCTCTCTCAGAATCCGTTCCTAGCAAGGTATTCTCCTCTACTTGTTTTTTATCTGCATCAATATATTTTTGGAAATTGTTACAACATGTACCAATCTCAGATGAAACACTTACTCCTGTATTACCTCGGTCATCATCCATCTGCATAGACTTCAAACTTTTATCTCTACTGCTGGTTGACGTAATAGGCTGAGATGCAGTGGAGTTCAGTTGTTGGTGTTGGGCACCAGACATAACTTGTTGAGCTAATGTATTTGTCCATGCATTCTGCAACATAGTTGAGAAGCCACTTTGTAGGGACATGCCCGATCTACCACAAGCTTGTGCAGCTTGACCAGTTTCCACAGTGGGATGCTGGGAAGAACTTCTAAGATGATTCAACACCCCATTTGCTGCATGGAGAGGATCGATACCAGAAAAATTGAACTGAGAACCAGGTACATTAGCATCAGTTGGTGAATCAAGCCTGAAAGGTGAGATTCTCCCAGCCATCGTCCTCAATGTCGTTTGAGCAGGCTGACTAGACAAAGCTGCATCATGAGAGAATTGTGCACGTCTAAGAAGAGAAGCTAGTCTGATGTGCTCCTCAATATCAGCTGCGCTTCCAGGAGGAGGATTTACGGATTGATTCAACAACTCGCGTCCAGATAAACTATATATATGTTGTTGTTGCAGAAACTGTTTCTGCTGCTGAAGTTGTAGCTGACGTCCCATATGAGAAAGATTGGAAGTAGAAACTGCTGCTGAGTTGCCCTGGGAAGCTAACTGTGTCATTTCCTTGCAGTTCTGTCCAGAAAAGTCGGATCTACCACCAAAACTATCTTTTTGAGATGCTTCATGAGCATGTTGAGAATGATCTGAACCAGTAGAAGCTGACTGGATATGATCATTATCTCCTGCCACATAGTCAAATTGTATTCTATTAGAATCAAAATAATGTGTCTAAGAATGCAAGACAACATAGTTTGGAATTTTTTGCTGAGATGGCGAAGCCAAATGTAAGCCAAAGCATCGAAAGGGTGAACATTGATGAAGGCGATGATGTGAGACAGATCCGTCAGGAGATTCTGTTTCATGTTTATCATGTACTATATTGAAAAGATCACACTTACCAAAGCTAGCAACAGCGCTGCTATCCCTTGAATCATCTGCCTTTTGAAGAAGCTCGAGCATGTTTTTGCTGCAAATAATCAGAATGATTCAGACTTTATAAAGATAATGAAATGAAGAATGAGATGCAGAAATACGTAGATCTTCCAGTAATTTACATGGCAGTGATGGTTGTCAATAAATAAAAGGTGGATATAAACATGTCATACATAGTAGATAACCTAAAGCAGCTAATGCACACTCAGTGGCCAACTTAGCAGCTGATAACATAAAACACAAGCATATTCACCTACACACATGTAAGCACAAGATCCTTTTAAAGCCATGAATGATAATAATCATTTTGTCCTTGCAGTGATTGTTTGTGAAGAAGAATATGAAAAATATTCTAGGAATAAAATTTTGCTTGAAACCAATAGTGTCGCTTCAGAATTGGGACATTGTGAGCACCAGAAGGATTTTTTTTTATAGAATTCCAAGGAAGTAATAGCATTGTCATGTAGCTTAAACTGTAATTCACCTGGTCTGCCTAGGCATTGTGCTTCTATATTGTGATTCTTCTGGGCTGTTAATGCTTCTCTGTAAGTCAGTTGACTGCCCCTGTAAAATATATATATTGAGAACTTCAAACCACATAAAAGCAAGACATGAACTAGATAAAATCCAATTAAATTCAAAAGAACTACGAAACATTTACCTTTCTCATACTCGACGCGTCATGAGCAGCATAGTGAGAGTTTTCTACATGTCCTTGCCCCTGATTATTTAATTGTTGGATAACAGACTTGGGCATATTCTGAGAGTATACCTTGTCTTTTGGAGACTCAGAAGGTTCAACACTCATGCTAAAATTCTCTGTCGAATGGGATTGAAACCTACGAGAACCTACAGATTTCCAGCCAGACATACCTGAGGATGTCTGACTGTCACTCATAGAGGCCTCAGCACTATTCGCAGATGTGTCTCGAACTTGTTGCCCCTTAATTGGTTGTTGCTTGTTTTCTACCAAATTTTCACCTCTGGACCTCACAAAGGAATTACAAGCAACGCGCTTCCCAAGAACATTCTGAGAACTATTTGGATGTTGATTCATTTCCTCGTTTGCACATAAATTACTTGAATTCACAGCACCATCAAAGTTTAATGTAGAAAGTGCTACAGATTGGATGTGGGAACTGCCAATATCAGATTTTACTGGTCCAATTCCACTAGAAAAGTGCCCTCCATGAGCCATCAGAGATTTATTCCAGCCAGTTGAGCTAGGATCAGGTTGCCCATTATTGGTAGATACGGACCTATGATCTTGTTGAATCCGGGTACCCTGATTGTTCTGCAGATTGAACTCCATGCTTGACGAATCTGCAGTTTTAATAGACTGCTTCTGTATGTGCTTGAACCAAACACCAGGAGGAACATTATTTGATTTGATCTGTGCTTGAATTCCACTATCAAGAATTTTCCGCTCGTCACCCTGATCAAATTGCATGCTCTGATCATCCTTAGATAAGTGCTGATAGGACTCATGGGAAGCATTAGTTTGTACTCTTTGATTCTCTTCACATGCACTTCTCATCGAATGCAAAAAATTGGTACCAGGAGGGAAAGGTGAGCCTATATTTGTATTGCTGAGTGAATCGGAAGGTCTCAAGCTTAAAGGGGGCGAACATTGAGAGCTCTTATTTACCCAAGGAACTTGATGCTTTGCATTGTCATTATGGATAGAAGAAAAGTTCCCTGTTAATGGTTCTGTCTTCTGGAAGCTCAGGCCGCTCCACTCTTCCCGAAATCCTTTTTCGCTGCTGGAAACTTGTACCGCCTCCTGCATAAGAGCACTCCAACTTCCACTTTGGAGAGACGGAAAAGCACCTTGTTGATCATTGGTCTCGAAAGGATCTGCATGCAGATAATATCCTGTGTCCATATCATTACCGAAACAAGAGCTCCAGTTGCCATCATCATCCGTACCAAACAAGATCTTCTCTTCTGTAGGATCTAGACTAGTTACACCACGAGAAGGCCCAACTTGTGTTGTTCCTTTTTCCTCTAAGTTGCTTGACCAGCGAGCTTGCTCCTGTCCATCCTGAAATACTTGCACCTGAATACTTTGCTGTGGATGGTTGACTTGCTGGAAGTTTCCTGCCGTTATACCAGCACTTACACCCTGCAGTGGAGCATTCACAAATAAACTTTTACCTTGGAAGCCTTGTGCGGCAACTGATAGACTATCCTGCGAGATAGCACGCTCCGGACCACACTGAACCTTTTGAAAATAATTTGATGGACCAGAATGCGTTGGTGCCTGTTCTAACTGCTTTCCAACTGCCTTAGTCATTGCATCCATAAAACTATTTGGCGTCCCTTGGAACTGAGGATATTGGTTCAACAAGCCTCTGCTGCTGGAAACAGGAGTTCCATAGAAAGACTGGTCATGTTGTTGAGTACCAAACCCTGTTGAGTGCATTGCTTGACTACAATCATTTGTTAACATAAGCCCAGTAGACACATGCATACCAGGGGAGCCTCTGCTTTGTGCCCAGTTCATGGAATTAGCAGTAAACATCTGAGAGCTAATTGGTATCTTTGATTCACCATTTATGATATCACTTTGCAACATTTGCCTAGATGTGTCATTTATGGGCATGCCGTTCAAAAGAGACGGTAATTGATCCGCAGCTGCTTGTCTTGCAGCAGGTTGGCTAAGCAAATTCTGTGGCCTTGCTTCCTGATCTAGTTGCTGAAGCTGTTGCCGCCTCTGAAGCTGTTGTAGCTGTTTATACATCAAGTGTTGTTGCCACAACTGCATTTCCTTAGAACTAGGATGATATCCTGGGTAAGGTGATATTCCAGATTGTTGCTTCTTCATTTACTGATGATGGATACCATGGGGATAACATTAAGGGTATCAATAAATCCTTGAGAAGTGACACTGAGGTCAAATGAATGCCCAAGAACCTTCAATAGCAGTAATAGTTAAATTTCACCACATAACACTCTGACCAACAGAAGGGATCCATCTCCCAGAGACCTCGCAATAATGGATCTCATCTGTAGCCAGCAAACAAACTTCAAACTCAGTTAACTTTCAAATTTTAATTTAGCAGCTGAATTTGTGTGTCTGGCTTCAGAATTTATCAAGTTGAAGCTGATAAGAGATTGTGAAAATGGCCCATCATTTCCTTGTCAGCGTCTGCCAACATCAAATAAATAAATATAATCAAACAGTTAACCAACTAATAAAATGCACAACAAAGCAAGTGATTCTTCTTCTCTTCTACTTCAGTGTTTACTTCACAGTGAAACTCTAGGGAAAGAAAAACTATAAAACCATAATACTAAAAAGGTAGACAATAAGGACAAAGTACTAAATACCATAACTGGATTTCCAGCATATGCGTGGTTTTGAAAGGGACAATGAAAGCATTCTGATAAAAGATGCCTAAATTGAAAGAAGCCTAACTACTGGATTTGTTTTGCTCCTTAAAGAGCATACGCATGGTTTTCCAAGTGATTCTTCTTCTTTTCTACTTCAGTGTTTACTTCACAATGAAACTCGAGGGAAAGAAAAACTATAAAACCATAATACTAAACAGGTAGACAATAAAGACAAAGTACTAAATACCATAACTGGGTTTCCAGCATATACATGGTTTTGCAAGCGACAATGAAAGCATTCTCATAAAAGAAGGTTAAATTGAAAGAAGCCTAACTACTGGATTTGTTTTGCTCCTTAAACAGGAACTCAAAATGCAGTAGCTCTCCATTCTGCCGCTAGGTCTCAGCCCATATCTCATTATTACATACCACCCAATAACTTCATCCAAAGGCATAGAAAATGTTTCTCAGAATTCCATGCAAATGCATAGATATCATGCAGGCTCAGCTAACACATTAATTAGTGCTGAGTACAAGGCAATGAGAGTATCAAAACAAATAACATCAAAGATTCAATTGTGAAGCACAAAAACATTCAAGTGGCCAACAATCTCACAGATACAATGTTCCAGCTCCCTCCAAATTTCTGATGCCGGACAATTAGGACAAAAACTAAAAGATAGCAGTGAGATTTTTATTCACAACTAACCTGAGAAAATATTATCTTAAGGCCTTTAACAAGTTTGTCAAAGTACCATGCCACTACACCAAAACTCTGAAGTTGTGGTGAGGGTCGAGGATTATAGTTCATATTCTAACATGCTCACACAGGTTGAGAGCCCGTTTTATGGGCAGAAACCAGGACTCAAGCAACAGTATCAATTCTTTTAAAATCTGTTTGAAGTTCATGGACAAAAAGATTCGAACCGAGTGTTGTGATGCCATCTCACAGACCCTGTCATTGCAGCAAAACTCAAAAGTTGTGTTGAGGCAAAGATTGAGATTTTGCTATGCCAAACAAGTAAATGTAGACCATGTACAAACTATCAGTGCTATTTTCAAGGACTTTGTTTTTTTTACCAATCAAAAAAAAGTTGCAAGAATAGGAACATAAACCATGCATGCCTCAGCAAAATGAGCAAACAAGAAGCTAGGGAACAATTAAAAAAGTGGCATGGTAATCCATAAGAAAGTTTTGGCAAAAGCTAAGTTGCACGGATATGGGTACAAGAGACAATAAATTTGTAAAAAAGGTAGGGTAAGGGGGCACGACTAAAACTCATGGGTTATAATCATAGTTGTGAGCTATATATGTAAACGACCCTTTTAAATCATAGCTCTTGAGGATGAAACGAACTCGAACATTGTCAACTCGGCCATTATCCAACAAGTTACAAAAATGGATGTGGAGGATATATATTCAAGAAGTTGAGCAGTGTTTTAAATGCATTGTATAATTGAGTACAGGTACGAATAAATATATGCATATATTTATACAGGTGTATGACGTGTGTCAGGCAGAGATACAGCTCCATATTATAAGTAACCAGGTAACGTCGGGCAAAAGGAAGCACATGATTGGGTCGTATATGAGGTGATGGTGTACATCTGAAGCTATGTGAGGCTAAATAACATATTAACAATAAATTTTGCCGAAAATATAAGCAGCATTCATCATCAGACGATGCAGAACAGATTTATTCATTGTTTTTAAACAAAGCTAAATATGAGAGAGAGAGAGAGAGAGAGATGGTTTACAGATTACAAGGGCCAAATGCATTAGAGCATAGAAGTTTGATGTTCCTAGGGGCACTACCTCCTAAGTAACAAAAAAAGTAAAACTTGCCGCGAACAATGAAGCCTTGAGAGAACGAGAAAGAATGTCAAGCTCAAAGCTAATGGAGCAGACCCAGAAACATATGGTACATTAGCTCACCTCTACCAAACTTGCAAATAATAGAAATACGAAATAAATTATAATAACCTTAAGCACTGGGGAAAATGAGGGGAGGGAGCAGTAAAGATACATAGAATATGATTGTTGATAACACTAAATACTCTGCATGCGCAAAAGGATTTCTCTTCACGACACTTTATCTGTTCTTCAACAAAAAGATAATATTGTTCCCTCGATGAAACTTTACAACTAAACATCATCATCCACTTCCAAAAGCCAAAAGAAATGCAAGAAGGTCAAGTAAATTGCGTCAAGATCTTTCATCTATTATGTGAATACTAACTAAAGACAACAGGCCCGCCTTTTATGCAGATTTAACAACCCAAAACATACTAAAAACCACAACTCAGATCATCAAACTAGCTTCCAACCTCCAAACTAAGCTCATAAAATGAGCCAATTCCATGCCCAGAAAGAAATGCTCAAATCTCCAATTTTTTACCACCACAGTGCTCTTATGTATCCCCACCCTAAAGAATTCACATCTAAATTTTTGTATCAGCATTTACATCAACGAATTTAATTGATATAATCGATAATCTACCAATTCAAAGTCCAAGGAAACAAAATGTACTCTTTGCCAAAAAATTTAGCCAATTTTCAAACTCAAGTTTAAAAAAAAAAGTTTTAGCAAACATTCTCTCTCACTCAAAACAAAAATCCACAAAAACCCTAGAACATCAGTTCAGCAAAGAACATACCCCTCAAAACCCAACCCAAACTTCACAACACTAACTCAAAACAAAATAAAATTTCAAATTTTTCCCTCAATTCTGCTTTCCTAAATTCCAACCCCAATGCCTCAAATCCCCAATCTCAAAGTTCAATCGGCTCCAACAATCACAAACAAAACCATCTTTACCAACTTGCAACAAATTTCTTCTAAAACCCTAAACAAAAATATCCATCAAGAGGAAATTAAGGAGCTGTTCCAAAAAAGAAGGTCACTTACTTGGTCAAACAAATCAACTTCCTCCGAATGGCGTTGAAATCGAGCAGCAGTGGAACTAGAACTCGAGCTCAGGGCTTCTCCTCACTAAATTTCTTTAGGGTTAGGGTTAGGGTTTGATTGAGTGAAGGAATTTGCTATGAAGCTCGCAGAGGGATCAAAAAGATAAAGTGAAGGAGTGCGAGTTTTTCAACGAAGTCCCCAAAGGGGAAGACGGACCGCTTCGGGGCGGACCAAAGCCTTGCTTCGGAACCGTTTTGGTTCGGACCCGAACCAATAAAGGTACAGTGTACCTACGATCGAGCAATCTAGGCCGTTGATCTTGGGAGTTTAATTGGGTAAGCAACGGGCCGCGGACAGCGGAAATTTGGGAGGGAAAACGACAAAGAAACGACGCTCGATTTTCTGTACTGTTAGAATAAGATCTGGACCGTCCAATAGTACGCTAGAGAAATTTTACCCAATATTTGGATAGGTTGGCTCCCTTTTCATGTTTAAATTTGTGAATTTGACAAATTAATCCTCGTGTTTTCTGTTAACCGAAGAATGTGTAATCTGCTTCTAACCTGTTTAATTTACATGATTAAAAGATTTTGGTGAAGAAAAAAAAAGCAATTTGCACGAAATTATTAAAAGTTGTACCGATATAAAACTTAAAACTTTTAAAATGCCTCCTCAATTTTTTCCTTTTGTCAAAAATCGCGTTTGTTTTAGAGAGTTTGATTGAAGGATGATGTTTTGCCTACGTAAAGAAGATGTCAATACCAATGGAAACTATAATGCCTTGTGTTTTCACTATAATAATGTTTATGTCTGAAGGTTAATTTGTGGATTGAGTAGAGATTAATGAAAGATTGGGGTGCTTAATCTCCTATGATGGCTGATCAGGTTGGGAAAGGTAGATCCCTAGAAGCAACAAACGTTTGAGACCCCGAAGAAGATCTTTTCTGGCGTGTCTTATAATGCTCAGTCAGTGACTGGCAGAATTAATATGAATAAGGGTGCTTCTACAGGGACCCGAAAATGAGACAGATAGGGAGAGCAGGTGAGGTGTCCCTCCTTAATTGCATAATGAGCTGGTCATGGCCAGCTCATTATGCAATCAGAGGGGACACCTCACCTGTCCCCCTCTATGGTCAGCTCATTATGCAATCAGAGAGTGACATCTCACCTGTCCCCTCTCTATCTATCCTATTTTCGAGTCCGTGAGGCATTTTTCTATGAATAAAAGTGCGAGATAAAGTTTTGGGTTTAGAGAGTTCAGACCTCGGAATGGTAAGGATCTCTTATGTTTATAAGAGATACTGAGGGCAGGTTGGTCGTCTAACTTGGCTAGTGGGAATGGTGTTTTGTCTTCACACCTATCAACACTAGTTGGGCGAATTCGTGGGAGCCCTTAGTATCACTTTTTAATGTGATTGTGATAGAATAGCAAGGTGCGGGTGCCGTCTAAGACGTCATCATTATAACTGACCTAAATTTAATACAATAGCAATTGGGTGGCGGAGTGTAGATGGCGGAGTGTAGGCGATGCCTGAGAAGTCATCACCATGTCTGGTCATGTATTAAATGCGGGTGTCTTTGATGAGGTGGTCGGATATATCCCTGACTTGTGACGAGTACTCTTTGGCAGAGTCTAACCTAATGACGCCTCCCAACCCTGACTAGGATAGTCAGAGGGTTCGGGTAGTCTGATCGGATTGTGGCTATATTGCGTTAGGTCTCTGGTCATATGACCTTGCCCGTTTGACTGACACGTGGTTAGCTCTCAAGGGTTCATAAAAATTATGATTTGTTGGGTTTAACATTGACCCTTTTTGCTCGAATCTTGAGAAGTTAGGTTCGAGAGAAATTGAACTGTTTCGCCTCCATTGTCCTTTGGATTCGGGTCATCATGGATGGTGTGATGTCATTAGCAAAGACATGTGCATAGATTTTTGAGAGGATACACTTCAATTGATGGGGATTGAAAGCTGACTTTTAGGGATATGAGTTCATCGGTTTGGATTCATCCACATGTCAGCTATCGGAGGCAAGTTAGCATTTATAAAATGCCTTTGCCCCTCTACTTTTCTCCTTTAAGCTCTCTAAGTTTTGACGTAGGATTTTCTATTCCCTAAATCTTCAGTGCTCCAATCACTTTTTCATCCTTCTCCAATGGCTTCCAACTCGCAATCGTCTATAGCTCACCATGGGGCCAGGATGATGCTTCGTTAGTACGCGTCGATGGTTTGCCACGGTGATCTCTAGGGCTAGGTGAAAATTTTTAACATCCCCGATTCTCGTACTTTGTTTCTCCCTGCGTCTGGGTGTCCCGTCTACAATCATAGGAATCACGAGCTGCCAGTGGACTGGCACCACTTCGATTATGGCCTCCACTTGCCTCTGTACGCTTTTCTTGAGAAGGTATTTCTAGTTCTTTGGATATCACTGGTGCAGTTGAAACCCAACTTGGTGGCTTTCTTGACCACTTTTCTCATCATATGTTACCAAGTTAACATCGAGTTGACATTAGGGGTCTTGGGTCATTTATTATGCATCAAAGCTAGCGTGAATGAGGGGCATTTTAATGTCTAGTCTATGGGTGGATTATGATTGGTCATGAACATTGCGGACACTAACAAAAGATGGAAACAATGGTTTTCCTTTATCATCGATTGATTTGATCTTGCCCTATTCATGGCTAGAGATCCGAAAGGATGCTTTGAAGGCAAAGCCTCTCTCCGAGGTGGAGGGTCAGGCTTAGAGAAGATCCGAGCCTATAAAATCCCACGTCGGGTCGAGAACCTTTTTGATAATGTTGTTCTTTAAGTTAGTGGTATATCTCACGCGAAGGTCATAAAGGCAGACATGGCTTGCACTGTGCTTTTAACTAATGAAGTGCATTCAGAGAAGGTTGCTTGTGATAATCTTTCTTTAGGACAGAAGCGCCTTCACTTCGAGCTAGCGTAAGAGGAGGTTCAGGGTCTTCCCTAGAATCCGACTGAGGTTGCTACATAGCTCAAGATAGGCTTGGCAACCTCTAGCTCTTGAAGACCATTTCTAAGGGGTGTCATCTTTCTGAAGGTGGTTCATCAAGGAAGGCTTTTGTAGGTGTGACACAGGATCCTTCAGGAGCCCTTCTATACATGTATGTCATTTATTTGGATAATCCATCTTTGTCGATAGTTGTCGAACGTGGATAGATGATCAAAGGGATTCCTTTAACCCCTTTGCATTTGGCCAGAGTTGAACCACTTACTAAAGGTAGTGTCACTGTCTTGGCTGAAGGTAGTAAGACCCCTAGTCTCT